ATGACAATTGTTGGTCGGCCATCTCATATTGGTGGCCTCCCATGTCTGCACAACACAACTAAGTGGTTGAAACCCGGAGAATATGAACCAAGAGAGAGAAAAACCCATTTTTTAGAGGGGTTCAAAAGGCTCAGGCACAATTACTGGTCAGCCACCAAATATTGGTGGCCTCCCAGGTGTATACAACACAAATATGGGGTTTAGGGTTCAAGAAAGTGGCCCCGGGGTGGTCAACATTGGCTTTCAAGTGAGGAAAACGGGCGTCGGAGAGCGATGAAAAAATAAAACTGGCTTTTCAGAACAATTGCTGGCCTCCCACTCTCCTACAAGCTTCCTAACTATGAAAATAAGGCGTCCACCAAAAATGAACCAAAACGGATGCAAAACGGAGATTCGGGGGACCGAAACGCGCGGCCCGGGGCCCCGAAAATGGGCTGTTAAGCACCAGAGGTGGCATTCGACCACGAAGTTGGTCTCTCGGGCCACAGTGTTCCTCAAAAGGGAGGAAATAAGGTGTGTGCCAAAAATCAGAGCAAACGGAGGTGGTTAGGCGGTCCCGAACTGAGGCACATGGCCGTCGGCTCCGAAAAAACGAAAACCGGGCTCCAAAATAGAAAAAATGGCCTACGACCACGAAACGTAGCCTACGGCCACTGAGAGATGATCTACGAGACCTCTCTCCTTTTGGGAAGAGAAAATAGAGAAAACAGAGCCTGATTCGCAAACCGAGGCAAGGCACGAAAGAGTCCGGAAGTCCAGAGGCAAGGCTTGTAGCCGGGACTCTGAAACTTCTGAACGAGCACAATATGCAATATCACCGAGTGCTCAACTGGTGACGTCTGAGTCTTAAGGTCGGTCAAAAATGGGGTGTCTACAGTTGCCCCTCTTTGACAGAACTCGGAAGTCATAAGTGACGGGAGTGAATGTCAAAGCCCAGAGATGACCCATTTTTGACAAGACCGAAGACTTAGACAAACAGGCAAGGCAAGCAGAGGTGTGCTCGCAGGCATGCCCGCAGGCAGGGGCAAAATGTAACCGACAATGCAAGAAGCTGAAGGTATCTCAATGATCATGCAAATGCAGCAAGCTGTAATGAAACACATATTCACAATAGATGCAACAGTTTTAAGCAAGAACGCAAAGCAGCAACTACATTTCATGCAGTTTAAGAATGCGGAGAATTATTCAATTCTCGCCACGTCTCCCACGGAGAAGATACAATACCTGCGCGGTTTGTCTGGTCACACCAGCCTCAAATGAACCGTACATACAATATCGTGCCTGCAAAAGAAAGAAACTCAACAAGCACAACATAATCAGCAACACATGTTCAAAGTGATATTGAATGCAAACAATCGCGGCGTCGATAGAAAGGTGCATCGCAATGCGAGGAGTAACGCACGTGACAACGCGGGTTAAGCACGAGGATTTGACAACACCTGTGAAACGTGCACAATAGTATGAGTGGTGTGCATGAGAATGTAAGTGATGCGTATAACAATGCAGAATAAATGTGAATTCGAACGCGAATTTGTCGTAAAACGACGAGCAAAGAAATGCGAGTTTTCGATGAGGGTGACTCAATTGCGACCTTCGGTTTACCTCTCGGAGGGGTCACAACATGTTCGAAAAGGATACATCTCACTTTTGACGAGTAACGATGAACAACGCATCGAAAGTTGGGGTTGAAGTTCCGGTAGAGCGATTTCGCGACGGAAAGTGCACTTCTCTTGTACTTTTTCAGGTCCCGGGGACTCCAATTCTTCCCAAAATTTGCAGAGAGCTTGGTGGGCACTTGGGGAACACCACCGACTAGGTCTCATCCCAGGGAGAGGCCACCGACTAGCATTTTGCAGAGGGGGTGGTCGACCTGCCACAAAAGGTGGTCGGCCGACCCCCTAGCCCAAATCCGGGGCAGCTTGGTCATTTTGCTCTCATTTCTTTAAATACACTCGGCCAAAGCCTCATTCCTCACAACTTCAGCTCCGAAAACACCTTCTCTACCTTCCTAGACCATTTTCCTCTTCTGATCTGAGCTCTATACGCGTTTTCCAACGCCCCACACAAGTTGTTTTCGTGAAATCTTTCAGTTTTCGTCACTTTGGACCGATTCAATTTTGATTTCGGTGCTTCTTTTCTCATTTTCACCACTTGAGGTAAGTTTGTCTCAACATTTGAAAGATTTCTTCGGGGGTTGACTTTTGTTGACTTTTTCATTTCCCGAGAGTTGACTTTGTTGACTTTTTCCAATTTTGGCTCATTTTGCTCATTTTTGCTCCTTTTGCAGATTTTCTGAAATGGCCGGTCATCTTCCTCACGGTGGAGGTCCTCCGGGTGCCGGGGATGATCCCAATATTATGGCTCTGCCTCCGAGGGTTCGACCCTTTATACCCGAGAGGTACGCCCCTCGAGCACATATCCTTCCGCGGGCTATTTTTTATCACTTCACTGATTTTGATGATCGAGCGCCTGGGGATCTGCTTTTGCGAGAGCCGGAGTCTCACCTCTCTCATGAGACACGAGAGGTATTTATTTCGCCTTTTTTTTTTCATTTTTGCAACGTATTCCGCATTTTTGTACGTTTCATGCCTCTTGCTATGCATATCTGCTCTTTTTAGCACGTAGCTTGTTCTGACGCTTAGCCCATGATACAGTATTCTGTTTGCGTTTTGAACGCTTGAATTCCTGATCACGTAGCCCATAACCTGATGGTGAACACACAGCACACATATATGTTGACAGTTGAACACTCAGCCCAAACTCTGAATTTCTGAACACGCGGCCCAAGTTAAAGGTGAGCATACAGCACACACTTGTTGAGAGTAGAACACATGGCCCAAACTCTGAATTTCTTAACACGCAACCCAAGTTGAAGGTGAACACACAGCCCACACTTGTTGAGAGTAGAACACACAGCCCAAACTCTGAATTTCTGAACACGCAGCCCATTGTTGAGGTGAACACACAGCACACTGATTTTGAGAGTAGAACACACAGCCCAAACTCTGAATTTCTGAACACGCAGCCCATTGTTGAGGTGAACACATAGCCCACTGATTTTGAGAGTAGAACACACAGCCCAAACTCTGAATTTCTGAACACACAGCCCATTGTTGAGGTGAACACACAGCCCACTGATTTTAAGAGTTGAACACGCAGCCCAAACACTTGAATTCTGATTTGATTTTGCATATAGCTTATACATTTCATTTGCACGCAGCTTGTATATCTCATTTGCACGCAGCTGGTTTATTTCATTCTGAAACTGAATATATGTATTCACCGTGAATGCAGGTGTCCTCCCGTGTTTCACGGGGATACGGCTCCATTGTTGCGAGAGATTGGTACGCGGAGCTCCTAGAGGCCGTCCGCGATTGGGTTGATCTAGCAGGATTCGGGCCCTTTTGTGCCGGGATATCTCGTTATCCAGCTAGCAGGATGTTGATGGGCGCCCTGGTGGAGAGATGGTGGGACACCACCAACTCCTTTCATTTCTCATCTGCCGGGGATATGACTATGACCCCATTTGACTTTGCCGTATTGACCGGCCTTGACGTGGGAGGCTGGGCGATCCCATATGACAGGGATATGGGCCAGTGGGAGGCCGCTTGGATCTACTTACTGGGAGCTCGTCCACCGGTCGACCGATCCTCGGGCCGAGTCCGGTACACTTGGTTTTTTTCACATTTTAGGCATACTGAGCCCGAGACTCTGGAGGAGATTACACAGTACGCCCGCGGGTTTCTGATGTTCCTCTTCGGGACCATTCTGTTCTCCGACAAGGGGAACACCGTTGGGCTATATCTGTTGGGTGCCCTGGCAGACCTCACACAGGTTAGTCGGTATGATTGGGGTGGCGCTAGCTTGGCTACCCTCTATTGCTATATGAGCGCGACCTCCCGTGGACGGGGGAACATAGTTAGCGGCTACTGGAGAACCTGGGAGGTACCTTCTGCCCTCTTGATTTACATTTCTACTTTTCAATGTATGTATATTGCACACACGGCACACTTTATACTCTGTCCTGACATCCTGCACTCAGCATTCTGCATTCTGATGGCTTTTGCCCCGTTTTCCGCAGTTATGGGGTTTTCGCATATTTTCCCATACTAGCGCCAGAGCTGGAGGTGGAGGCGCCCCTTGTGACCCCTTACTCGCTTGTTTTCGAGGGCCAGTACCGGCCGCGGCCTCGGGAGACTTTTCTCTACCTACGGCAGTACTTCGACACGGTGCAGCCGTTAGAAGTAATCCAAAACTCCCAATTCCCAATGTTTTCATCTCTGGTTTATTCCGTACATCTACGGTTTCTGATCAGCCTATGCTTTGGTTACTCGCAGATTACCTGGCAGCCCTGTTGCCTTTGGGTGGGGGACCTTCGATTTTAGTTTTTCGGAGGATGGGGCTCTTCCCGGTATAGGATCTTGTTCGAGGGGCCAGTTGGTAGGGCCTGGTTCTTGGGGGAACGCTTCCTTCGTCAGACTATGGGCTTTCCTGAGCCGCGTGTTCCCTCAGCACCTCCGGACGATATGCGGCTCGCTGATAGGCTTACTCCCCAGGGTGTCATTGACGCTAGACTGGGCACTAATGCACTGCTGCATATAGAGGACGGGGAGTATGCGACCTACCGTCACACCTACTTGATGCCTCCGTTGACAGGTGTCTGTACTCCCTTGAGGAGGTCTACTGATATGCCGTCTTTGAGTCGAGCTCGGGCTGCAGGTGCCCCTTCTACTAGCAGGGCTGGCACATCGAGAGGAGGGGTTGGACTGGTCCCCCCGATTCCTCCGACTCATCATCATGCCGGATGGCCAAACATGCCGACCGAGTTGACAGGATGGCGATACGGGACCTCCTATCCGATTCCGATAGAGCCTCCCATGCCTGATCATCTATATGTCATTGATCCCGACTCACCGCCGGTATGCCCCACTGCTTTCCATCTATCATTCAAATACTTAGACATTCCTTTATTCATTGATGATTTGAGCTTGTATCTGCAGCCACCCAGAGAGTACATAGAGGGGGTGATCGGATTGGTGGCCTCACTCAAGGGCATGGTCTTGCGGAAAGAGGCGCAACTGTCCATCATGGGTTTCCAGGTACTCTTTAGTTTTCTCACATTTATCGTACTTCTGATGACATGATGACCTTGAACATTTTACTGCTTTGATTAATTGCACGTGTAGAGCACATCTGACACACCACATTCATATACTGTATCTGCATGCACCCTCATTTCGTGTAGTTTGCTTGCATCTGTATCTGATACACACATTTTGAGTTGATGTATTCAAATTTCACTTTTTTATTTTCAGATGCCTCCAGTATATCCGCCACAGACCGGGCCATCTCGACCTTCTCGGGGAGCCGGGCCATCTCGGCCTTCTTGCGGGGCCGGGAGAGGGGAGTCGTCCAGCAGACGCAGGACACACATCGTAGAGGAGGAGCCCGATGAGGACGAGGAGGAGGAGGAGGCTACAGATCGTCAGTCAGAGACCTCTGCTGACAGAGAGGAGGGTTCCGATCCTGGTTCTGGGTGTGGAGAGGAGGCTGAGGAGGATCCTGAGGATGACAGTTCCAACTCAGATGGTGCCGGTGGTGCAGAGCCTGTTCCGCAGAAGAGGACGAAGAGGGCCTCTTATTCCTGCTCTTGAGAGCATTGGTGCAGCTGTTTCCTGCTTTATTTATCTTTTTTACTAGTAGTTGTAGCACATTGTACATTATTAAGTAGTTTTATTTTTTGTAAAACTTGTACCTTTGTTGTAGAATGTTGTGACAAAGGAAGCATGATGGAATGAAACAGCTTTTTTGAAAAAGTGTTGTACTTTATGTTCTCAGCATCGCATCGCATCATTTTGCAAGTAAAGAGATTAAACGGTAAATGTGCATTGTGTATGTGCCAAGTCAGGTAGCGAACTGACACGACAAACAAAACAACCTAATCTCACTTAGAAACAACAAAAAAAACCTCAGCAAGTTTACAACTCGATAAGCAAAACACAACAAAATTGATAAACAAAGAGTAACAACTCAAATCCACAAGACTCGGCGACTCGATTAAACAAGACTCGGTAAACGAAACAGCTCGACCAACAAAACAACAACTCGATAAGCAAAACAACAACTCGATAAGCAAGATTTAACAATAACTCCATAAACAAAGTGTATTTCGGACGATTTGGGCGACGAAACGCATCCGAAACAGAGAGAGATGGAGGCTTTTGACACTCCCGATGCATGGAAATGCTAGGAACTTTCTTCTGGAGAGTAAAACAGGGCCAAATACGCAGATTGCAGCATGACCGGCCACTTTTGGGAGCTGGCCGACCAGCTTTTTGCATTTGAGGGGGGGAAGAGGTGGCCGGCCTGCTAGAAAAGGTGGCCGGCCAGCCACTTAGCCCAGCCACCACCAAATTTTCGACACATGTCCCCCCCCGAACAGTGCCTTATCCCCTTTAAAAGTCCTAGCTCTGTGGCTCATTCATTTCATCTCAGTTTTGCACCAAAATGGAAGCGTTTCTCGTCGAAAATCTCACAGCTTGGATTGCTTCTTTAGACGGCTCGAAAAAGTTGAACTTCCAAGGCTTTGGCTTGAATGCACTATTCACGCTGAGCCGCACTCCGCTACACCTTCATTTCTTTCATGCCGCGGCAAGGTTTTGGAACCCGGTAACGCATGTCTTTAGCTTCGGCGAGCAAGAGGTATGTCTAACTTTCGAAGATTTTCAAGCTTTGATGGAATCTGAAAGTTGTGAAGAGATCTTGCCTCAGTTTCGCTTTGGTCACGCCCAAGCTTTAGGGCGGATGTGTGGACTCACCACGCATGACGCTCGGTCTCTGACCTGTAATGGGGAACTGGACATCCTCGGATTGATTTATCGCTTTTCTGACGCCGGTGACCGTGGCGACCATCATTGGCAAGGTTTCCGACAACATGCCCTTTGTTTGTGTATGCTATCTCACTTTCTGCTTGCGTCGGGTTTTAGTGGATTTAGCATTCGCTTGATTGAAGTTGCTCAAGACTTGAAGGATGGAAAGAGTTGTATTGCGATGACACTGGCTGAGACGCTGATGGGCTTGGATGCTTCCCATCGCCGGGAGACGACCAGATTTGCGGGGAGTCCACTACTACTGCGGGTAATGTTTCCCACCCAATCTCACATATGTAATGCTCACATCACTCGGCCTTCATGCTCGATTTTTCTCACGTCTTACTTTTCTCTCAACGTACATCTCTCTATTCTTTATTCTCTCATTTTTCATCCCTCTCCAGGTATGGTTGATGGATAAATTGCAAGTCGTGGACTCTTGCCCCGCCTACTTAGCTCGCGGCTACTTCTTTCGACAACGCCTAATCGATGCCTTTGATGAGGGATGGTGGTTCGACTGGATGTGCAATTTGTCTGCAGATCGCATCGCCTGGCGCTACCCTTAGCTCAATCTCCCGGCAATGAGCTATAGTATGTTCCGGCAGACCGGGATCCAGTTGGTTGGTCTGACTCACTGTGTATTCTACTTTCCGTTCCGGGTCCAACGCTAGTTTGGTCATGATCAGACTTGCCTGCCAGAGGGGATAGAGTATCTGACTGTTTTCCCAGTTCGAGGTGCACAGCTTGCCCGATATGCCACAGCATGGAGGACGAGAGAACTCCTGGCCCCCGCTCCCACTTTCAGTTATACTTTGTCTGACGAGTGCATGGATTGGCTCAATGAAGAGGCACAGATTGGGCCCAGCTCGGTATCAGAAGTTTCGACCAGCTCTGGGAGGGGGCGCAAGGACACCTGACTTGACTATGCCCCGGATTTATTGCTTTATTAGTACTTTCAAGTTTTCTTTATGAATGTAATAGAAAGCAACTTCAATTATATGCAAGAGCAGGAGAACTCTGTTTTGAAATCAATGAAATTGAAGGTTGTGGTACTGAAAATTTTCCGCTTTGGTCCAAAAATGGTCTTAGTTGTAGAAAGATTAATTTTGAACAAAGTCAACTTTTTATTAAAACTTTTCAAAACCATTTTCGATATGGATCAAAAACTGGACACGCCTGAGATCTGTCACTGAGATGCACAACCTCGGATCCCTGCAACTAGAAAGTTGCCCCTAGTCTGAAGAGTACCGCGGCACTGCATGGCAACGGAAAGTTGCCCCTAGTCTGAATAGCACTACACCGGAGATTCCAATGGAAGCCCTTAAATGCTGATAGACAAAGATGACTGAGATGATCAAATGGACAAAGTTGATCGGGGAAAAGTTTATGGCTGAACTTCAGGGTGAAGTTGCTTACGTATCCCGAAAATGGGAATCAAGCCTTACGTAGTTCAGGCTTAGGTTCACTCGAGTATTTTCACTCTCCTTTTATCTAACTTTTGCCAAGGCCGCCCTTTGCGGGTTTTCAACCTTGCGAGCTCAGTTTTTATGTTTTCCAATTTTTTTATGCTCTAACTTTTGCCTAGGTCGCCCTTTCGGGTTTTCGGCCTAGCGAGCCTCTCAGGGATAATATTTCTTCAACTTGTCCATGTTGATCGGTTGGGAGAACTCTAGGCCATCTAGATCCATCAGAACCATAGCTCCACCTGACCAGATAGCTTTGATGATATAGGGACCAGTCCAATTGGGTTTGAACTTGCCCCTTGGGTCGTGGATGGGAGCTCGGTTGTCCTTGAGCACCAAATCTCCTTCCTTTAGATTCCTGGACTTAACTTTCTTGTTGAAAGCCCGGGCAATTCTGCGCTGATAACCCTGAACATGGTACAGTGCTTTCAGTTTTCTCTCATCAAAGAGCATGAGTTCCTCAAACCTGCTCTGCTGCCAATCTGCTTTGGCTATTTGACACTCAGCCAACACTCGCAATGACGGAACCTCAATCTCGATAGGTAGAACGGCCTCCATCCCATAAACCAATGAATACGAAGTCGCTCCGGTAGAAGTTCTAATTGAAGTCCTGTAGCCCCACAGAGCAAATGGCAGCTTATCTGGCCAATCCTGGTAGGTTTCCACCATCTTCTGCAGGATGTGTTTGATATTCTTGTTGGCGGCCTCGACCGCTCTGTTGGTTTGCGGCCGGTATGTGGATGACTTATGGAAAGCCACGTTGTGTTTTTCTAACAAGTCAATCACTTCCTTCTTAAAGTGGGAACCATTATCTGAAATGACCTCGTTTGGGACCCTGTAGCGGCAGATGATGTTGTTTCTGATAAATTTTGCAATGTGCGAGGCCTTCAACACCGCATACGATTGGGCCTCGACCCACTTCGTGAAATAATCTATCGCGACTAGGATGAACTCATGCCCATTCGACCCTTTTGGAGTTACAGCCCCGATCACATCGATTCCCCAAACTGAAAATGGCCATGGCGAAGTCATGTTGTACAGCTTCGACGGCGGGATGTTCATGCGGTTTGCATGAATCTAACACTTGTGGCATCGCCGAACAAAACCGATACAATCCTCCTCCATGGTGGACCAGTAGTAACCCTGTCTGAGGATCTTCCGTGCTAGCATTACTCCGTTCATATGCGCACCGCATTCTCCTCCATGGATGGCCTCCATCAGGTGCTTCGATTCCTCGGCTTCAACACACAGCTTATGCATTCCCAGATGACCTCTCTTATACAACTTACCCCCACAGATGATGAACTGAACGGCCATTCTTCTTATCGCCCTTTTATCCTTGGCATTTACCCCTGGCGGATATGCTTCCTTCTCCAAGAAATTCCAAATGACATAATACCAGGGATTTTCGTCCTGAACCTCATTTATAGCAGCGATCGACTCATAGGCTGGCGTAAATTTCTGGTCAATGATGACTGGACGCATCCGGATTCCAAACGGGATGTCTATCATGGAAGATAGAGTTGCTAAAGAATCTGCGAACCTGTTGTTCTCTCTTGGAAGATGAGCAAAGTTTAGCTTTTCAAACCGAGGAATTAACAAGTCCAAGGTTTGGTGATACATCATCATCTTTTCTTTTTTGACTTTCTAGTCTCCTTTTGCTTGAGACACAACAAGGCTTGAATCCCCGATGACGTCTAACCGTCTTGCTCCTAGTTCTAGGGCCGCTTCTAGATCGGTAATGCATGCCTCGTATTCTGCTTCGTTGTTCGAGACTTTGAACCGGAGTTTGAAGGCTAGAGTGATACGGGAATTGTCGGGTGCTATCAGCAACACTCCTATCCCATACCCGTACTGATTTGACGCTCCGTCAAAGTACATCGTCCAATACTCATCGTTGATGTGCAAAATGGCTTCATCTAGGAATAAGTATTCAACTGCTTCACCTCCTTCCACTGGATGATCGGCTAAGAATTCTGCTACTGCTCTTCCCTTGACTGACTTGCTTGTTACATATTTCAGGTCGAATTCGGAGAGCAATAACAACCAACGAGCTAGCCTACCTGTAAGTGTCGGTTTCTCGAAAAGATATTTGATGGGATCGAGTCGTGAAACCAACGTTACGGAGTGAGCTAACAGGTAGTGCCGCAGCTTCCTGGTAGCCCATACCAAAGCTAAGCAAGCCTTCTCCAACAGCGTATAGCGAGTCTCATACTCTAGCATCTTCTTGCTCGGATAGTAGATGGCTCTCTCCACCTTGTCCTCTGACTCTTATACGAGCATACAGCCCATTGTGGTCTCGGTCACTGAAAGGTACAATATCAACGGTCTCC